ACCGCTTTTCACTCGAAAAGCAACTGATAGCGTGCAAATAGCGTTGATTAGCGCTTAAAAGCGCTTTTAACCGCTAAGCAAGGCTATTTATTTTTGTTAAATTTTCTACCCGAACCCGAAAACCGACCCGAATGCATAATAACCTTTCTCTCTCGCCTCTGTATCCCGACCCAAGCCCTAGCCACCTCTTCTTATATCTTTCGCCTCCACCTCCGCCTCCGCCTTCAGTCTCTGAAGCCGCCTCCGTATCCGCCTCTAGTCTTCGAAGCCTCCTCCTCCTGCGGCTATCTCTCTTGGGCTTGGCCCGTAACAGAGAAAAAGTTAATTTACTAGTTTTGTACGCTCCTGCTCCTCCACCTTCTATCTACACACACCTGGGACTTAATTTGTTTTGCTATCTAAACACTTGCAATAAATGAACTGCATTTCCTTTTCCATTCAAGACCACCCAAAAGTTCTTATTTCTTTTTATTGTCCCCTTTTCCATTTCAACATAAACAGAGGATGTTCTAACTTAATTAACTATCATGATGCCCTCCTGATTAAGATAATATATTATCAATCAATTTTAATTAATAACATGAAACAGATGAATCTGTCTAGCTAGCTCATTTGGAGGTTAGCACTATCGCTTGGAATGTACATAAGTTGGATACTAGATAGGAGAAGAAAGATTAGGGTTCTAATATAGGATAACTGGAATAAGATTGAACTAAGCTTGGGGCAGGACAACAGCTCCAAGATCTAGGACCACTCCACTCAGGGACAATGATAGATCAATGGAGTGACCTAGATCTTGAAAATTTTATCTATAGTAGTAACTTATAGCAGGTTATGACTTATGATTTTGAACTCGAACTCATGAATATTCATTTATAGTTTATATGCTTAATGAAATTGCTTGTGAATGAAAATTCTATATATGTTTTTTTGTTTCAATTATCCATTTTCTAAAAGTTCATCTCTTCAGTTACACATATACTTCTTATGCAAAATGATTCTAGATAAGTCAGTTACGTAAATTTTTGATTTCAACAGAAATAACAACATTCTTTCTATGAACAAAATATGTTTTATCATCTTTTCTTTCTATTTATCATTTTTTTTTCAAGTGATAATACTTTATTACTTCATACGTTCTTCGTCATAAGGAGTTACTCCCTACATAAGAGGGTGTTTGTTTACAAGCAAGTGAAAGATGAAAGTAAGAAAATACATTTCTTTTATGAGTTTTAAGTATTTGTTTGTATGCAAATGATCGTAAAAGTGATATACAAGAAAGTTATCACATACGATTGAATGCGATTTTGACTTCCCTTAAAAAAGTGTATAGTCACATAAAAGTGACAAAACTGATAGTCGATTTTAATTAAATGATTTTAGTTATGTTTACTAATTAATCCTATTTTGCCACATCATCTTCACATTTCATCCACTTGCATACTAACGTGGCTGTAAAAATCATTTGCAAAGAAAAGCAATGTAAATATTTTCAATTTACTTTCAAACTAGTGTGCACTCCGTGCAAAGTACGGGCACCTATTTTTTTAAAAATACTGCATTTTGAACTTGCTTCCCACAAGTTTTAATACATTTGAGTTAATTATTGTATGTTTAAAATTAGAAACCATACATACTCCTTTATACTTAAGAAAAGATCCGAGTTTTAATACATTTGATTTAGAAATCATATTTATTCCTCTATACTTAAAAGAATGATCTAAGTTTTAATACATTTGATTTGCTTAATATTTATGATACACTGAACACTGTAGCATGAATAGTAACTTGAAGTATGAAGAAGCAGAATTAATTTTCTTTTTGCTACAGTATATTAATGTAGCATAAGCAGCAACATCGAGTGCTAATGACCAGATTTGATTTACTATTTATGCTATAATATTTACTTGTAATATTTATTGCAGCGTACACAGTAACTCTTTAGATTCTCTTTTTAAGTATTGAGGAGTGGATTGCCAAACACCCCCTTCAGCTGTGGAGAGAGATCATAAAGGTGACCTCCGATTGGTTCTTGTGCCACCAGGCCTGGCTTACAGTATTGGGCTTTCTAGCTTGTGCAGGCCAATCCATAATCAGCCCACAATTTTATAACCACACCGAACGGGTCGGATGTTAACCATTTACTCGTATAAGGTGTGCATCCATGACCAAATCAAAAACATCCCAGCGAAACGAACCCAAATGGATCTCCTCTGCAGCGCTTACGCTGCCGCCGCCTCCGACGACGACGACGACGACGACGAAACAGACCAATCGAAAGAGCTTCTATCTCCTCCTCCACCACCAAAGAGAGCGAGATCGTCGTCTTCACCATCAGAACGATTCTATTCCTATCATCCGAAGATCGGCGATCAATCCTATTCGCGTTTATCTCGACCGCCTCCACTTTCAACGGAGGAGGCTAAGGGCAGATACGTGTCAAAGCGAGAGAGGGCGATGCTCTCTTGTCCTTCATCATCATCACCTTCTTCTTCTTCTTCTTCTAGGGTTTCTGATGCTCCGGCTCCTTATCCTCAAGCTCACACGGTCAGCACGACTCCTGGTACCACAAAGCCCTTAATTTGTTACTGTTTCATAATCATAGTTCTTTAAACCCGAGAAACATTTATGAAAAAAATCTCGAGACTTGAGAGATTTGGAAAAAAGATAGGACCTTGTTATGCTTTATGCCACGTCGTTAATGATATCTTGAGTGATTTATGTAGGGTTTTTTTTTTCCCTGGAAACCACCTTAAAAAGAGGGTGATTATAGAAAACCTCCTCCTTTTGTTTGTTTCAAATCCCAAAATTTATGGATATGGATTTCAACATAGAATTTGAAATCCATAAATTTTTTGGTGGGTTTTAGGATTCCTAAAACTTTGTTTGTTTCATCAATATTTTGGGATTTGGAATGCTATAATTTGTAAATTCTTGTTTGTTTCAAACTCAAATTGTAGCATTACAAATTTTAGAATTTGAAATCCATAGTTGTAACAAACAAGTTTTAGGATTACCAAAATAATAAATGGTGAATATAAGAACTTTGGTGAGAAGTTTTAGGATTACCAAAATAATAAATGGTGAATATAAGAACTTTGGTGAGCTTACCTCCCATACAAATACAAATACAATTGCACAGTTATACATAAGCAAACAACGCACAACAATTCACTGGAGAAAAAAAACAAACGTACATACAAAGCGCAGAATAGACGAAAATTATATATACTTCTTCAATAAAATTATAAGATGCAAGATAACCAAGCCACTTACACAAGTACAGAATAGATGACATATGCATATTTCTTCATTCACATTAGCAAGATATATCTGAAATAGTCGTGTTTAACAAATTTACAAAGACCTCGAACCACATTAACCATCCCAGAAAACATCGCATCCTGGTATTATCACCTAGCTATACCAATGACACTGCCTCTGAAAGTTGCATCACATAGAGAGCTGTGTGAATTAGAAGATTTGAAGCAGGCTGAGTAAGATAATTAGTAATATGAGATTAAACTCCCTGATCATGAAGACAGCTTCCGAGCAAATATTTATTGAAAATTTTCTTGTGCTCCCCTCTACCCTGCATAGATCAAGATAATTTGCACACTTGTATCCAAATCAGAATTCTACTCTCTGAACTGTTCAATATTGGAAAGGGTTAATTGCATATGTATACCCACCCACCAACACATCCATGCACAGATAATTTACACATACCCACGCACCTGAACACCAACACATAACAGCCACAAGCACACACATTCATGCATACACTCGCACGCACACAAATACAAATGCACACCTGCACAATCACACGACCACATGCACCCCCTAATGCAAACACACAACCACCCACAAATCTCCCGCACCTATGGACGCATCCGACAAGCACCCAACCCAAGGCTCAGACAAGGAACCATTAGAAAACTCATAATAGGACCAAGGTAGGGGCTCAGATACAGATATTAAAATTGAATACATGGATTGCCTCATCTAACAATGATGTTGCCTTGTAGGTTGCAATCACATGAATGGATTGCCTCACCTAACATTGTAAATACAATGTTAGGTTGCATTCTCATCCTAGATTGCCCTACCTAAACATAGCAAAACATTGTAGATTGCATTCTCATAATATGATCATCATCATTGCCCAAATTCAACAATACAAAATAGCCATACCAATACATATCGTGCAATGTAGCCACAAACAAGCAAGATGGACCCAAGAACACAAATCAGAATTCTACTCTCTAAACTGTTCAATATTGGAAAGGGTTAATTGCACATGTATACCCACCCACCAACACATCCATGCACAGATGCCTACACATACCCACGCACCTGAACACCAACACATAACAGCCAATATGCATTAGTTTTGTGGAAAATAGACTGGCAGCGTAGAGCGAGCATTGGAGGTATGGCCTACAACAAACGTATAATAGAGATGCAAATATGTGCACGTATGTCTTTCTAAAACAGAATACAGAGGACGCTCGAACTAACAGAAATTAATAAGAAATGCCATTATATGACATAAAATAAATCAATGTATGAAATTAACAATGATGTGCCACGTACACCACGAGAAGTGCACATGACATTGTAAACAAGCTATAACTCAAACAACAAAGGCTCAGACAAGCAATAACTTAAACAACAAAGGCACACATACACAAGCATAAGATAATAACCATGAACTCATCTCACCCATACATACATGCACATACATACACACATACACAAGCACACACGCACACACATACATGCATACACACTTAAAACATTGTTGAATAAGGAGGTAATGTAGCCAAATCAAAAGCAACAAACCCAGCAACCCAGCAACTGAAACTAAAACTGAAAAATAAGCCCTCCAGCAACAAAACCCAGCAACCCAGCAACCCAGGCCAAATCAAAATCTTATGCCTCTCATATACAACAACAAAACCCAGCAACCCAGCAACTGAAACTGAAAGTCTGAAATTGAAACATAAGCCCTCCAGCAACAAAACCCAGCAACCCAGACCAAATAACCCAGCAACTGAAGCAACTGAAACTGAAACTGAAACTGAAACATAAGATTATGAATACCAAGGCTCATAGAAAATGTACATCAACGTAGCCAAATCAAAAGCTTCAAACCCAGCAACCCAGCAACCCAAATCAAAGAATGATGTAGAAGAATAGCAGAGAAAATGTAGCCAAATCAAAAGCTTCAAACCCAGCAACCCAGACCACCAGCGGGAAAACGCATAATAGGATCAAGTTAGGGGCTCAGATATAGGTATTAAAATTGAATACATGGATTGTCTCATCTATCAATGGTGTTGCAATGTAGGTTGCAATCAAATGAATGGATTGCCTCACCGAACAGTGTAAATGCAATGTAGGTTGCAATTACATGAATGGATTGCCTTACCTAACATTGTAAATGCGATGTCGGTTGCATTCTTATCCTAGATTGCCCTACCTAAACATAACAAAACATTGTAGATATGGATTCTCTTAACTAAGACCATCATCATTGCCCACTTAGAAGAATACAAAGTAGTCATACCAATACATATCGTGCAATGTAGGTTGCTATCAAGTATCATATCCAATGATATTTATATAAACCTGCAAAAGAACCAAAGTTATAATGAGATTGCAATTAGAGTAGTGAAATTAGTTACATCATTAAGTTGTTAAACTTACAAAATTAATAACATAAAGCTACACCACTAAGTGTTCAACTTACAAAATTAGTTACATCATTAAGTTGTTAAATATACAATGAGTTTACAAAAGCAATAGATATGTCAAAGTCTTCAAAAGTAGTGCAATATCAAGTTTTCATAAGTCAAACCCTTGCTCGTTGATAATCTTCTCTATAAATAGCTTTTGAGAATTTTTGGTTTTGATGATCAACCTCCTAGCTTCTGATTCATGGTCATACAAGTAATCAAGCACTTTATCCAATACCCCCTCAGAAAATTCACTCTCATGCGTCATTAGAGCATTCGCCATGGTCTCACTCCAATGCACAACACGTTGATGTACATGTTGATTTTGAATTGAGAACGACATCGTGTCAATTAAACCACGCATGAGAGTCTCATCCTCTTTAGCCTTGCTACTCTTCTTCCTAGGAGTTGATGTATCAATTGATGCAGAAGCTATCCCACTAGAAGCCTTCAATTTCTTATCTTGAGAGTTGTGGTTTTGCCCACTTGATTTCTCGGACTCAAGACGTGGGCTTGGGGACAAATCAACCTCATTATCACTAAGTATTACATGATCCTCATCTCTATCCGTATCATGTTGTCTAGAACCAAGCTTTTCAGTCATATCTTTGGTGAAATCACCCTTCGCTTGGTCATCTCCCGCGATATAACACAAGTTATCATAGTGAATGAGAGGAGTGTTCAAATACTCCTTCAATCTAGAGCTATTGCATTTTTTATCCTGTACAGTGAAATATTGCAAAATCAGTTACTAAGAAGTAAATATTCAAAGTTTGCTTATTTATCAAAAATATTACCTGTGTCCACCTATCAAAACAATCTGGATCCATGGTGACAATCTTAGTTTGTGGATCATAACCAGCCCCACTCATGTCCATGACAGTGCGCATATCAAAATATTTACCCTTCAAGGACTTGACATGGTTCATGACATTCTCCTTTGTGAACTCAGTGCCACACTTCTTGTTGACCTCCTCTGCAGCTCTTCGATATGCAAGCACCTTAAAGTTTTTATCAACTTTAAGACCATCCTTTGCCATCTGAGCAAGGAAGGGGATTAACACATCATCATTCTCTGCAGTCCATTTAGCATTAGGCACCCCCCTTGTATTCTCTTTTTTGTTCAGCACCTTTGGTGGCATTTTTCTTTTAGTAACTGCCCGCTTCTTGCTTTTGCTTTTGCTTGGTGAGGCAGCATCATCCTCAAGGTCAATTGCCATTGGCCTCTTCAAAGAATGAGTCTCACTTGAATGGGTACCAGGGGAAGTGTGGATAAGTGGGTGGTCACTGTTAAGCATATTCATAAACGACATGGGTTGTTGAGTCATAAAAGAGTAGTTCATATCATAAGGATTGTAAGATGGATAAGTCGGTGGAGCAATGTATTGGGGCGGAGGGAATGGTTGTGTAGTGGGTGGTGGGGGAGCCGGGAAGTATGGATAAGTGGGTGTTGTTGGTGTTCTAGGTGAAGTATTCCTGAACTTATCACTTTCATTAGAATCTGCCATGACTGATTGCTACAAATTAAAACAGACAAATAACAAATTTCAAACCTCATGTTAGTATAATAATAATAGAGTACGAACATCAAAAAGTAGCATACATAAAGCCCAATCTTCATAGCTAAATCCAGAAAACTCAAATAAACCACAAGCTTGAAAAACCAGTATGCAAACAAGCCTCGCAGCTCATATAATCAAGGTTGCAAGCAAGCACAAAATTAAACAGAACCGTAAGTTGGATATACACAAAAATAGCATGCGAAAATGATAATATACTCATTTATCCATGAGTATTGTTGTAACATGAACGAATACATAGAGGTAGTAGACAATATATCAACGAGTACAATACCACATGGAGAATATAACTTAGATTACATCCCGATCTCGGTTGTGTCTCCACCGCGCCATTTAGCACAATAATCTTCCCACATTTCAATTGCAATTTGATCCCTCTTTGACACCGCGCCATTTAGCACAATAATCTTCCCACATTTCAATTGCAATTTGATCCCTCTTTGCTCTCCATTTATTTCTTGAATCTCTTTGGTCTCTTTGTGTCATAGTTTGAGTAAAGTCAACAACATCCTCTTCACATTCATTTGCTATTTCATCTCCATCCTCTTCAATATGGTTGTCCTCATGCAACAACTCATCGCCCGGGTCTTTCATCTCCATCCTCTTCAATATGGTTGTCCTCATGCAACAACTCATCGCCCGGGTCTTCTATGGCGATATAGTTATGAAGTATAGTACATGCAATGTCTTCTATGGCGATATAGTTATGAAGTATAGTACATGCAATAACTATATCAACTTGAGTTGGAAAAGGATAATGTGGCTTCGCGGATAGGATTTTGAAACGATTTTTTAATACCCCAAATGTTGATTCAATTTTAGACCTTAGGGATGAGTGCCTTAAATTGAACAACTCTTGTCTATTATTGATTGGCCTACCCTTGTGCTCATTTAGATGATACCGCACTCCTCGATATGGGGAGATAAAGCCATGCATAGTAGTGTAGCCCGCATCACACAAATAATATTTTCCTACATTTAACAAAAGAAATTTAGTATATTTCTTAATTATAATTAAGTAGACATACTTTATTTGATTGATTTATTACCGTCGTAAACTCTCAATCCGCGAGGTTGTGGTCTAGATAACGCGTCTTGCAAAACTCTATAATCATTTGCGGATCCCTCCCAGCCGGCTAGAACATACGAAAATAACTTGTTGGGAGTGCATGCAGTTAGAACATTTTGAGTTACACCTTTACGACCTCTAAAACGTGCAACAAGGCTAGCGGGAAGCATGGCGTCGATATGGGTTCCATCTATCATGCCAATACAATCCTATATGATACATTAAACATTTATTAATAATAGAAAGGTAAAATTAATTGTTAGATTATGAGTAGTTATATTATAATAATGATTACCTTGAAATAAGGATAATATAACGGGTTAGTGGCAATCTCTGGTGATACTTCATTTGGTGCTTGCTTCATGTACCGCCCCCTTAAACGACCAACAGCTTTCAAGTACTTGTTAAAGTATTTTGAAACGGTTTCCCCCGATCTTATGAAATGTGACCTAACAATTCTATTTTTTGTTTTATGGCCTAATATATTAAGGAACATGAGCAATTGTTCTTCTACTTTAACAACCCGTCCATCTTTTAGTAGGCCGGTATATCTCATTATGCTAACAAGATTATGAAATGCACGCGGCCTCATTCTAACATAAGCCCTACAACTCTCATTATAGCCACTAAACACACGACTTATGTGCCTAGCTCTCATATCTATCTTCTCTTTATTTTTCACATTACGTTGATAAGTGATTGATTTCCGTCTACTACGTATCCTCATCAAACATGTAAACACACAAATCACCGCGGAGATAGTAGCATTAGAAGCCATCCTCGTTAACATCTCTTCATCAATGTCGTTCATCTACATTGTTTTAAAAAAACTCACAAAGTCACAAAATTGAAAAAAGCACAAAAACAATCTATATAGTATTGTTGACTAATTGTTGATAATATTTGTTGGGAGCTTGAACTTTTGGTGGAAAATGAAAACTGAAAAATTGTGCATCCTCATTGTTTTACTTTGTTCTGACGTGCTACTCCCTCTGCAGTCTGCAGCATTGTTTTAGGGTCAAGTATCTCCAAACCAACAAATGATGTTTCAGACGGAAGAGAGGTTAAGTTGATGGCTTGATTATTGACTTGTTTGTCTAACTAGACAAAAGCGAAGAGAAGTCATGAAGATTTTGGTAGAAAAAATTCTAGCCGTGCGTATCATAGCCACATGTATTCTTTGTTTATACCACATCGCAGTCTTTGCTCGTCTAAGGAAAAACAATGTCTTGTATTTACTCATTCAGTTCTCACTTATAGTAATATGCTGGAATACGGCATTATTTCTACTCTACAAGCTTACACTCTGGATGTGGAGAGCCAATTAAGCAGAAAAAGTTCTTTCAACAAGTTAATTGAATTCAAATCATAGAATGAGCTGGGTCATCATTTAACATTTTACCATTTAGTCAACAATAATATATGAATGTATCCACCGTCAACAAGATGAGTTGTTATTTAAAAGAAAATAAAAAGACAAACAAAAATTAGCAGGGAAAATTATGGAGAACACCCCAATATTAATTTCAACAATCTATATAGCACAAAAACTAAATCAATTGCATATGCCTTACCACATATTAATTTCAGCTAGAACACCCCAATAATAAAACCAAATCCATCAATTTCACAAAGAAACCCTAATTTATGGAGAAAGGGAACGAGTTTTACCTGCCGAGGAGGAGACTTAGTTGGTCGGAGAACTGTTCGGGCAGAGGCAAGTTCGGTTGAAATAATAGAATCCCCAAATCAAGTTACCCCCAAAACCTCATGGAAAGTGGTTGGGGACGCTGAGGAGGAGGCGGAGCCCGCTGAAGTTGGGGTGGAGAGGAGGGAGGGGGTGGCGTCGTAGTCGGGGTTCGGCGGGAGCGATCGCTAGGGTTTCGCGCGGAATTTGAGATGGCGGGTAAAAGAGGACCCAGACGAAAGGTGATTTTACAAAGCGGTGATTTTAGGGTGGGATCGGTCTTCAGAAGAGCGGAGTTATTGCTGAGCTGGACGCGATATGTCAGATATCCAGCCCAAATCCACTCCAAAAAGTGGGATTTTACAAATGCTAAAAACAATTAGTTTTTTATTGTTTTGGGATTCAATATCCCAAAAAATTTTGGAAACAAACATGGTTTATGGATTTCTAAAACCTCAAAAAACCACTTTTTACATCCCAAAAACTAAAATCTACCCTATATCCCAAAAAAAAACAAAACAAACACCCCCTAAATTTCAAACGCCTTCAGTCAGTTTTCTCACAAAAAAAAAAACCAAAATTACCCTTTAAAAACTCACCTTTAGAAACTCACCTTTAGAAACTCACGTTCACGGCACATGACATGACTCTTTTTTTTAATATTTAGGCCCTGTTAGGGCATCTCCAACGGTTTCTTCAAAATTTTCTTCAAAATGGGGAAACAAAAGTCATATTCTTCAACTAATTTTTACACCAACTCCAACAGCTTCCCCATTTTGAAGAATCTATTTTTTCCTCCAAAAATTTGGAGAATGCTGCAGATTTGGGGAAGCTTCCCTATTTTTTCTCCTCTATCCCTATTTTAGGGAATGAGATGGGGAATCTATTAGACCAAAAACCTAACTATATTCTCCAAAAGTAGGAAATAGGGAAGCTGTTGGTGATGCTATTAGGATACGACTTTAGGTACTTTGAACTTGAATTTTTTAACTTTATTTTTACTTTTTACTTAAATTTAACTAGTAGGTATTTGATTGCAATAAAACCTATTTTAAAGATGGTTTATGTATAAATTAAAATTAAAATTAAAATTAAAATTAAAATTGAAATTAAAATTGAAATTAAAATTGAAATGTGATTTCCATATAATTACTCTATTTTTAAGGTGGTTTTTAGGGAAAAACATTCGAGGCACATGTGGCATGACTCTTTTTTTAATGTTTAGATCTTGTTAGGATACGTCTTATGTACTTTGAACTTGAATTTTTTTTAACCTTATTTTTTATTATTTACTTAGAATTTAACCAGGAGGTGATTGATTGTAACAAAAAAATCACTGTAAAGGTGGTTTATGTATAAATTGAAATTGAAATGTGGTTTTAGTATAATTATCTTAATTTTTAGGTGGTTTCTAGGAAAAACCCCTTTATACTAATAAGTTCCATTAGGCTTTACTCCACAAAGTCATGATTAATGTTAGTGAGAAGGTCACCCATCTTAGTGCTACTCTAGCTGTGCGTGCTTAAGTCTTACCTTCAATGGTTTTTTCATGGCTCTTATCTCGAACAGTGCTCCCTATTATTAATTTTGAGCTCATATGAACTATTATTTACAAAGTATGCTTCTGGTCTCCCTGCGGGACCATTAATTCTTGAATTTTGTATGAGCTATTCTATATGGAGTACCTTCTTCGCATTCCATGTGTTGGCTATTCACTCTGGGGATGACATATTTATTTAAGATATGTAATATAGGACATCCTTGCGATATAATCCTTGGCATGTGAATATGGGACTCTGGAGATAATCCTTGACAGATTCTAGAGGTTATACCTGCATGTTCAAGCGGTAATCCTTGTTGATTCACTTCCTAATTTGTTCATTCTTGTACTAATGCTTACTTCCAGCTTGTGTTGGCTAGTGTTCTGTTTTGATGATGTTTTTCATGCACCAAATGAGAACTTTCCAGGAGATCGCCAATCATTTTGCTACTCAAGACCAAACATGCTGAGGGCAAAGGAAACCTTTTTCATGTTCTCTACCGACAAATGAATGCCACCATCAATTCTTGAGTTCACTTCAACTGTTTTATATCAGAAATCATTCTTGTGCATATCCCACGTGGAACCTGTGACATAGTTGTAATATCCTTACTCTGACTCCTTACTGAAAGATTTGGTGCCTGCACATGCTGAAAGATTTGGTGCCTGCACAACATAAAATGTTAGTCTTTAAAGCATGCTCATTTGATTGTGGAGACCGACATCTACTACCCAGTAAAACCGGTTCTGGTCTCCTGTTTAAAACTTCCAGTAGAAAGAATTATAAATTATCAAAGAGAGATTTGTTTGAGAGAGTTAAAAGTGTCATTCTCATGTTCCATACCTGTAAATTCTTGCATAGCTTTCTGGCCAACTTGAATTGATATATGGTATTGGCTTGTGCCATTTAGGAATTTAGGCCTTTCTTTGTATTGCAATTACCTATTATTGACGCAGTTGTTCCATTTTAATTGGACATATTTTATTGGTGTTCGCTGATAAAATGTCACTTCCTTTACCTCTTAGTCTCTATTATTACACATGCATATTGATTCTCCTGCTTATTCTTTTCTTTGTTTCAGTTGTTGGAAGCATCGCTGTTTCAGATCTGCCATCTGATATTTTGTCATTGTTGAGGTCTCGAACAACTGTTCATGCCAACAAAGTAGCCGGAAGATCAGCTATTCTATTAAGTGGCCACACTGGCGCTGTCAATTCCATAGAATGGTCGCAGAGTCATGGTTAGCCACAGTATAACTTCATCTTCCCACAAGAGTATGCTAAGTATATCTATTTGATTGCTATTATATTTAATATTTTAATGGTCTCATGTAGGGCGCCATGTTGTGCCGTCAGATATGAGACAGTTAAAATGGAATAAAAATATGGAGATGTTACTATCTTTGCTTTAAAGGAGTCTACTTTTCTAGTTTTCCACTGGTTATGGATAGCAAATATTTCTTTACTCATCATGCTGTCACTTTGTTGTTGCTTCTTATAGTCACACTTACTAAGTTTACGCATTTCACGTGTATTTGAGTCAACAGTTTGCTTATGACCAAGTTCTATCATAACTGTGTGATAGATACTCAACTTTCTCATAAGATGACCATTAGTGGAAATTAGGAAACTGCATTTTACTTGCATTTTGCACCACACTTTCCAGCAACTTCTGCTTTTGGTTGAGAATATTTTTTTTCGGTGTTATTTCCAAGTATCAGAACTGTGTGCAATTACTTATCAATTAATTCAAATATGCAGCCCATCTTCTTGCTTCTTCTGGAATGGATCAAACCGTCCATGTATGGAACATATGGAGCAAAGATCAGAAGAAAGCACGCATCTTCAGATATCATAATGCAGCAATAAAGGATGTGAGATGGTCTATGCAGGGGTTATCTCTACTCTCCTGTGGATATGATTGCGCATCTCGGCTAGTCGATGTTGAGAAGGGGGCAGAAACACAGTTGTTTAAGGAGGATCAAGTAGTGGAAACAATTAGATTTCATCCAAGTGACTCAAGCCTTTTCCTTTCGGGTGGGTCAAAAGGCATTCTTAGACTTTGGGACGTTAGATGTAGTAAGGTGGTACATGAATATGTAAAAGGTCTTGGTTCGATCCTTGACATTGAATTTAGTAATGATGGAAAACATTTTATTGCATCCACTGACACTTCAAGGAGCAGGATTAGTGAAAATTCTATAATCGTATGGGACGTTGCACGAGAAGTTCCTTTATCCAACCAGGTAACCTTCACCCCAACCCAAAACTGAAGTTTAGTTTTACTGCTTACTATAGCGATAAATGTTATCCTATGTATTTTCTAGTCTAATTTCTTGAGTATGAGAACTATGTAGATTGCTACAGAAACCTAGAGAATACTCTCATATTGGACTGTCTTTATGTTCCTTACCTATTGTGTGTATTGGTTAATCACAGAAGTTCCAATTGCAGTGCATTCTGACCATTTCCTTCAGGACCCAAGATGATAGACCTATTCTATGTGCTCATAAAACTTCTTCCTAGCAAACAACCTTCTATTTGCCTGGGCTAATTGCTAATGAGGGGAATTTATGTGACTGAACCTTTAGATTACGTCTTTCATTTCAATGATATAAGAACAATGTATGCTTTAGTCTAGAGGAGCTTTATACTATGTAGATCAAGACCAATAGTGTGGAATTTTATTTTAAAGCTCCATAGCATGATTTTGTAATCGTGCTGGTTTAAGCAGTTAACTTCCTAAGTTGTTGATCGTATGCAAAAAAAGTTTCTATCATTTGATTTTTTTTTTCTTTAGGCTGTTTAGATATCATAGGTCATATCTAATGTCCGGATTTCAAGTTTTTATGATAGGATCGAAAGTCAAATCATATCCATAGGTCCTATTCAAACTCTTTACTTCCTTAGTATACATACGTACAAACCATGCATTACTCATTTGCTTAGTTTCAAGCGAATTATGTATTTACTTATGCCCACTTTATGAGCATTATGTTATTACCTTTGAAGCTCCCTTCCGTCATTTAACATGTTGATTTGAGCTGTTCATTTCTTAAAGCAACCAAAAAAAAAAAAGAACGTAGGATATGATGTTTTTTCATTGGACTATGCATATATCATAGGTCACTTCTGAAAGTGTGGATTTTAAGATTTGATGATAGAGGCTCAAAGGTCAAATCCTTGGTGGGATCCTTGTCTAACTATTTATTTTCTTAGTAGACATAATTAATAACCATGCATTACTTGTTTTGCCTTAGTTTCAAATCAGTTATGTATTTACTTACACCCGTTTACAGAGCCTTACGTTTAGTATTTTGTTCTATTTCAGGTTTATGGTGAGGCGTATACCTGTCCTTGTGTAAGATATCACCCCACAAATGCTTGTTTTGTTGCACAATCAAATGCCAACTACATAGCAATATTCTCTTCTAGGCCTCCCTTCAAATTGGACAGGTATAAAAGATACGAGGGACATGGAGTATGGGGATATCCTATCAAGTGCAATTTTAGCTCTGATGGTAAGGAGCTTGCATCAGGATCTTCGGACGGGTGTATTTATTTCTATGACTACAAATCGTCAAGGTTCTTGAGGAAGATCAAGGCTTTTGAGGAGGCATGTGTTGATGTTGCATTTCACCCCTTGATTCCTAATGTAATAGCATCTTGTAGTTGGACTGGGGAAATTTCTGTTTTTCAGTAAGATGTTCTTTTTTTTCTTATTTTTCCCAAATTTCTTGGCTTGCGTTTGGTGCCGATGCTGTAGATGGGTTCTCTAATATGCGCTCGTATTATATACTTATGTTTGGCAATGAGGAATATCAACTGCTGCTTTAATCCGTGACTCGTGGATATCATCAGAAAGCATGCAGCTGGTGGAAATTGATTTATGAGCAGTCTGGATATGGTGAATAGATTTTTGTTGCGAAGTTACCGTCAATCCCTACTATTTATAACAAAACAGAAAAGAATTTAAGGTGAAAGAAGCAGATGTTTATTTCTCAGAAAATAGAGTAACTGAATACAAAAGGTAACAGAGGAACTTTAGACTCTTAATATAACTCAAATAAAGCTAACTCACTCCTAAATTTACTCAGTCAGCAGAGACTGAGACCGAGTAATTTAGACCGACTCCACTAAAGACTCCACTAACTGGACATAATAACTACTGGAAATAAAATAGCCATAAAAATAGGAAACATAAATCTAACTGACACCGAATATGAGGGAATGCACTAAACTGCAACTAACTTGTAACACTACCCCTTAGTGCATGCCCTCTATTAACAAGACCAAGTCTTTCTCGAAACTCCTCAAACTTAGCTTTAGAAAGTGCCTTTGTAAGGCCATCTGCAACCTGCTCCTTTGTTCGTATCGAACGCAACTCAATTTCTTGATTTAGCACCTTTTCTCGAACAAAATGCAACCTGCTCCTTTGTTCGTATCGAACGCAACTCAATTTCTTGATTTAGCACCTTTTCTCGAACAAAATGATAGTGGATATCAATATGCTTTGTAACGCAACTCAATTTCTTGATTTAGCACCTTTTCTCGAACAAAATGATAGTGGATATCAATATGCTTTGCGTGGGCATGGAATACTGGGTTTTCAGCAAGTCTGATTGCACTTTCACTATCACAGAAAACTGGAATAGGAAAGTTGCAGTCCTCGTTCACATCTTGAATAAGTCTTGAAAGCCAGATACACTCCTGAGTGGCCAATGTTGCTGCAACATACTCAGTTTCTGCACTTGATAAGGCACTGTACTTTGCTTCTTACTGCACCAAGATATGGTCGCGGAATCAATATTGAAACAATAACCAGAGGTGGAACACCTGTCATTTATATCTCAAGCCCAATCGGCATCGACATAGCCTTGCAAAGAGCAAACCTTATTAGGCTGATAGTATAATCCATAATCCAATGTTCCTTTCACATACCGTAAAACCCGTTTTGCAGCAGTCATATGACCAACACACGGTTGGTTCATAAATTGAGATAAAATGCCCACTGAGAATGTAATATCCGAGCGAGTAATTGTTAGATACAGTAAGCTCCCAACCATTCTACGGTACTCGGTCACATCGTCCAGAGGCTTTCCTTCATCCTTCTTCAACTTGAGGTTTGGATCCATGGGAGTGGTTGTAGAGTTGAAGTTCTCCATGCCAAAACGTTGAAAGATCCTTGCAGCATATCCTCTTTGTGAGAGAAAATAGCCATCTGATCGTTCCAACTCTAAGCCAAGAAAATAGTAAGCTTCACCCAAGCTTTTCATTTCAAAACGAGGTGATAAATCATCTTGGAGGCGCATAATTTCAGCTACATCATCTCCTGTAATTATCATATCGTCCACATAAAGAAGAATCATAGTGGCCAGTGATCCCTTTACCTTGACAAAGAGACTAGGATCTGAATCTGAAGGATGAAAACCACAGAATATGAAATATTCAGCTATCTTCCCATACCAAGCACGAGGCACTTGTTTGAGGCCATAGAGAGTCTTCTTAAGTCGGCATACATAATGAGGAAACTTCTCAGATAAGAACCCCTGTGGTTGCTCCATATGTATATCACGATCTAACTCCACGTGAAGGAAATCATTTTTCATGTCAAATTGCCAAAGAGTCCAACCTTTGCTAGCAGCCAAAGAGATAATGGTACGAACAATAACCATTTTTGTAACAGGACTAAAGGTCTCATCGTAATCCGAGCCGTACTACTGAGAAAAACCACGAGCAACTAAACGAGCTTTGTGTCTTGTAATGGTTCCATCTGCAGCCTTCTTTAGCTTGTAAACTCACTTACATGTAATAAGATCAGCACCCTTCGGTCTAGGTACAAGATCCCAAGTAGCATTCTTCTTCAAGGCTGCAGTTTCATCTCTCATTGCAGCTTCCCAATCGGGCTTCCCTTGAGCTTCAGATTAGGATGTAGGCTCATTTTCAAAAGTATCTCCCACCACAAAACAAGAGAGAACAGTGCACTGATTTAACTGCACTTCATACTCATTTAAATGACTAGGCAGCTTCCTTTGCCTTGTCGTCCTTCGCGGTGTGGCTTCACCTTGTGAGGAAATAAGTTGAGGGAACTCCAATCTCCCCCTTTCGCTGGAATCAGTTTGAGTAGCAATAGACTCAATGTCAGAATCAATAAGAGGAACACTTTCTGAGTTTTCTCCATGCGCAGTAGCAGCAAGGTATAAGGTAGAAACCTCATCAAACACAACATCACGAGAAGTAACAATCTTCTTCGTGACAAGATCCATACACTTCCAGCCTTTCCTATGAGCATCATAACCAATAAACACACATTTTCTTGCTTTCGGGTTAAGCTTAGTTCGATGATGCTTGGGTATATGAACATGGCAAAGAGAACCAAAAATTCTGAAATAACTCACATCAGGTTTAATGTCATAAATCATCTCAAAATGAGATTTTGAAGTACCTGGCCATGGAGGTAACCGGTTAATCACATGACAAGTACATTGCATAATTGTTGCCCACAGCTCTCGAGGAAGATTTTTATCATGCAGCCAAGATAAGGTCACTGTTGTAAGGTGTGCCAGCTTACGCTCATCGACCCCATTCTTTTATGGGGTATCCGGACATGTTATTTGACGATGAATGCCATTCTCCTCACAGCATTTTGAAAATTCATGAGATAGAAATTCACCTCCACTATCGGTACGCAAACACTTTATGGCCGACCCAAACTCCCTTTCTACCATCATCTTAAACTGCATAAAGTGGGTGAGAGCTTCACTCTTGGTTTCTAGAAAATACACCCAGATGTAGCGGGAGTAATCATCCACAATAACCATCATATAGCGGAAGCCACTATAACTTGGAGTTCTGGTAGGTCCCATAAGATCAGAGTGCACAAGATGAAACATCACGGAAGCACGATTCATAGACTTATGAAAGGGAGACGATGTGATTTATCGTATTGACAACCAGCACACACTACGTCTGGATGCACTGTTTTGAAGAAAGGAACACCTTCGAGCAGTCTGTTTGTTGATATCTGCTGCAGTAGTTGATAGCCAACATGCCCAAGTCGAGCATGTCAAAGTGAAGCACTAGTACTTCTACTTGTCTTTTCAACATAATCATCACTCGCAGACAAGATGTATAAAGAATTTTTCTTTCTTCCAGTAAGCAGAATATTAGCATCAACACTCTTTAGATTACCAAGTACTTGTACATTCTCAGGACCAAACAAAACGTACTTCCTTGAATCAGTGATCTAAGAAACTGAAGCAAGATTCTTCTTTAAGCCTGGTACTTGATACACATCCTCAAGAGTAAGACCACCAGCATCTACATCTGTAGCCTTGACATAGTAATTTCCTTCTTTCGCCACAGGATGTAATGAATTATCTACAGTAACAATCACTCGCTTGCTCAAATAGGGACGAACATGTGAGAGTATTGTGGCATCACCAGTAGCATGATGTGAGCAACCCGAATCAACTATCCAGTCCTGCTTGTAAGCAATGCAACCAACGGCATCTGTATCTGCATCACAGTCATGCATAACAGAAGCCATGTTGTTCGGTTGATTAATTTCTTCCACAGAGAGACATTTCTCCCATTTTTCTTCGTCCTTGGGTTTCATGTACTGTATTTGCATCTGATTCTGCAAGTTTAACATGACAGTTTGGCTTAATATGCCCCGGTTTGTCGCACCGTTTGCATATGACCCTTGCACGGCAATTTGCCTTTATGTGACCCACCTTTCCGCATCTATAACACAATTTAGAGGAGTTTGTTGACTCCCCCTCACCCTTTTGCTGCTTACCACCCTTTATAGAGTGTTTGTAAGCATTCAGAGGAGTTTGTTGACTCCCCCTCACCCTTTTGCTGCTTACCACCCTTTATAGAGTGTTTGTAAGCATTCTTGTTCTTCCCCTTGTCTTTCACATACAGTTTGCTGCTTACCACCCTTTATAGAGTGTTTGTAAGCATTCTTGTTCTTCCCCTTGTCTTTCACATACAGTGCATCCTCAATATCAAGAGATTTTCCAGTCATCTGTTTAACCAAGCTTCATGGTTAGACAGAAGATTCTCCAACTCAACAATAGATGACTGCTTCGGTCAACCTTGAATAGATGAGATGAATGGCATGAAATCCTTCCTCAAACCACGAATCAAATAGCGCCGTAACCTGACATCACTTATAGGTTCTTCACTGTCCAGTTCTGAAATTTTTACACACACATTCTTAACCTTCAGAAAATAATCAGATATGGACATATTACCTTGAGTTAAAGAAGCAAGATCATTCTCAAGGTATTGAAGCCGCATGGTGTTCTTCTGAGTAAATAATCTCTCTAGAGTATCCTAAATTTATTTCGTGAATCCAACTCATGAACATAATCAATAAATTCCTTACTGATCGAAGTTCTGAGTGCAAACAACGCCTTCCCACACTTAATCTTCCATTTCCGCCTAGCATCAGCATGCTGTGGAGTATCATCTGGCTCCTTATCATCACCGGAGACAAGATCCCATAAATATTGACCTTGAAGGTAGGCCTCCATACACAGTCGCCAATATTGATAATTGGTGTCGACAAGCTTCTCAACAGTCATTTGAGAAACACTATTACTTCCGTTCATCTTGACTTGACAAGTAATAGAACTCACAATAAACCTCCTCTCACCGGGCAATAGAGCAAACACTTGGTGGTCAACCAAGCTCTGATACCATATAACAAAACAGAAAAGAATTTAAGGTGAAAGAAGCAGACGTTTATTTCTCAGAAAATAGAGTAACTGAATACAAAAGGTAACAGAGGAACTCTAGACTCTTAATATAACTCAAATAAAGCTAACTAACTCCTAATTTTACTCAGTCAGCAGAGACTGAGTAATTTAGACTGACTCCGCAAATATGACTCCACAAAAGATTCCACTATCTGGGCATAACAACTACTGGAAATAAAATAGCCATAAAAATAGGAAACAGAAATCTAACTGACACCGAATATGAGGGAATGCACTAAACTGCAACTAACTTGTAACATTATTTAGTGATAAAATCACTTTGAGGATAACCTATGGATTAAAATAGTGATCATCAATTTGTGTTACGAATATCACCTACGATCATCAAAAATAATGCGTTCATCAGTATTAGACAAACCAGTTGTCGCGTCTTACGGGATGAATCACTTTGGAATAGTCCATCATGACGCCCTTTTATTGCATGTATGTAGAAAAATGTACTATGCGATTCTGTGTCACGTGATTCATAAGGACTCAAACTTTTCGCTTTTAGACTTTGTCATATCAAACCAAGAAGTACCATTTGATTAGGTGTAATAAATCTAAATGCTAAATACTAAGCATCCCAACTCAAGATACATATGACGAGCAAGGTAGAGATTAAGGCTGGTTTAGTAGGAGGGAACATGAGATGGGCAATGGACAAAACCAAATGTGAAGAAATTTGAAGAGGGAGAAGAAGATAGGAGAGATCTTTTAGGGTTTCTGTTTTATAGTGAAAT